ATTAGTACGAATCACGGCGGGCTTAGTGAGCTTTGTGCTGTTATGACATGGTTTCCGTTCACGGCGTTTATCTATTTTTACCACTTGCATGGCCTTGGTGACATCGCACAGACGGTGATGATGAACATGTTGTTCTCCCTTTTACGTATCAGGATAAGTAGCCTGCTCTTTGTCCTGGATCTGGCTGGTGTGATGATGCCCTGCCTATTGGAGGCTTTGTTTCGCATGGGGATTGTTTCTCCATTTGCGTGGGCTGTCGACTGCAGGCACATCTGACTTATGTACCATATTCGAGAAGATATCATTCTGAATGAAAATCACAAAAACAGGGCCGTTGAGCCCACCACACTATGTCTTGTCCTACAATTTGTAATATGCATTTGCTCACCCGGATAGATCGATGATGACTGAGGGGTCGGCCGAAGATACATCCCTTATCCTCGGCTCATGACATGCGGAGAACCGCCACCTTCGACTGTTTTGTGCAGAACCCCTTTCCAGCACCTGGATTATGCAAGAGTCTGGATGTTGAACATTGAGGACTCGCTTCACTGGGGGAAATCCGATTCTCCTCCCCTTGCTGCAACTGTTGGTTTGTCCTTTCGATAGTCTAACCAGGGTCGATGCCGGAGTGTCTAGGATGAACTGGACGATCATCACTTCACCTCCGCACTCCAGGCTCAATTCCACCCTCTGTCCTGTTCACCTCGGCCAAACAAGCTTTCAGCTCTCTCATTCTGGACACACGGACAGCAGATAGATCAGACTACGTATTGCAGCGCTCCCCCGCACTACGCATGATGGTCGATATAAGTAGTGGAGAAAGAATGGGGTTCGGCGTTCGTCACCCCCATGGCTCCAGCCAACGACCCAAGTCTCAACCCGAACAAGACAGTCGACGAGCATTATCCACCTTCCCATTCGCAATACCAGGAAATACCGAGGATCATCTCGGTTCCACTTCTCTTCTTGTCCACAAATCCCTCGAACTAGGATCCCCACCAACCCTGTAGCACAGGGATCGCGTATATAACCACGGAATCCTCGTCACCATGGTCGCCTCGGATCGACTCAAGAAAGTGGCCGATACTTTGTCCTCAAACCCCATCTCTGCTTCGGTGTTGCCGGATACCATGTCTTCTCGAGTGCAAGTGCCTGAGCAGCTTCCCTGGGATCCTACCTGCACCCGGTTTCCTTCTCGCAAGGAGTTGCCCGAGCTCACCAACGCTCCTGAAGACGCGGCTTGGGTGTGGGGTGAAGATGATTCGGTGAGTTTGGTTCTTTGGAGGAGTTGTAGTCAGATGCTTATGTGATGTGCATAGCTTGGAAGGTTGAATCTGCTTACTCCGGAGCGGGTGAAGGCTGCCGCGGCGGAGATTCAGACGGGGGAAATGGTTCGGCTTGAGTGAGAGACATCATCCCGTAGATGGTTGAATGAGATGACTGATGGGAGATAGCCTTCCGTTGAATGTTCCCGAGACTCCGGCTTTTGGACGGGAGGCCTTTCAGCATAAAATCAAGTTACTTGTCGAGGGTGTGGCGTACGATGATACGTATACTTTGAACACACAGAGTGGTACACAATGGGATGGATTCCGACATGTAAGTGCTGAAAGCAGATCTCTGCTATTGTCCTGAAGCGTTGTGTTTACTAACGGATCATAGTTCTCACATATCGATTCTCAAACCTTCTACAACGGCGTATGTGCCTCTTGAGCGCGATCCCCCGCTTCAGTCACACTAACGAGACACAGACCAAACCCTCCGACATCGACGGCGAAAACGCGAACCTCCGCTGCAGCATCCACCACTGGGCTGTCCATGGTATTGCGGGCCGCGGCATCCTGCTCGACTATCGCCATTACGCGAAAATCCACAATATCGACTATGACCCGTATACGGCGCACCCCATCTCCTTCGACGACCTCAAAGCCTGCGCCAGGTACCAGGGCATCGATCTCCGTCCGGAGTCGCAGGGCGGCGACATCAAAGTAGGCGACATCCTCATGGTTCGCTCCGGGTTTGTAGAGCGGTATAACCAGCTGACTCCAGCGGAGCGCACGGCGGCCGCCGAGCGCGCACACGATGATATCAAGTGGGCGGGTGTGAAGCAAGAAGAGGCGGTACTGGACTGGCTTCATGACTGCTACTTTGCCGCGGTGGTAGGAGACTCGCCCACGTTCGAGTGCTGGCCACCGATTGAGGGGAACTACATGCATCAGTACATTCTGGCGTTGTGGGGGATGCCACTGGGCGAGATGTGGGATTTGGAGAAGTTGGCGGTTAAGTGCCGGGAAAGGAACAGGTGGACCTTCTTCATGACGAGCGCTCCGGCCAATGTTGCTGGTATGTGTTGCCTTCAGCCGATGTGGTAGAACGATCGCTAACTGTGGGTTTAGGAGGTGTTGGATCTCATGCAAACGCGACGGCTATTCTGTAGGGCTAAGCCTGCATGTATGAGTTATCCTTTGTATCCGCGACTCGATCGGCAATATCTCTATGGCTGAAGAAGACAGCTCGTTCTGCTGAAAAGGGCATTTACATAGGCTCAATTCTACATAAAGTCAGACAAGGAGTACATCGAACAACGTAGAGACGAGCTTGGTGTGGACTCAGCACTTCTCGCCTTGGAGCACTGTCTACAAGGAATACCTATCTACATTGACGAGTGATGTATGATCCCGCTTCCGAAGACCGGCACATCTACTACAGAAGAGGAGCACAACAAACGGAGCAGTCAGGACTCAAAGTAGACAATTATTATCAATCTGATACTAACGACAGTGATGATATCAGTCCCAGACTATCATCGATCACACGCCCTCAGATCGGATGCGGGGGCGAGTCTCGGGGCGGGATACAAAAGTATGCGGATCGAGCTCGCCATGGTTCACAGAAAGAGTTTATCATCAGATAGGAAGGACGTCACACCAATCCGACTCGAAGATAACACGAGCTGAATTCGGATAGAACGGTAATCCTGATTCTCTTCTTGATCCACCAAGCCCACTGCGGATAGTGCACCGGTCTGCGGCCCGCACACAGTACTGCGGTTGGCAGCGGCCATGAAAGGATGAAGTATAAGACCTCGTATCAAGGTCACCAGATCCTGAGAAGCGAATCATCATAACTCTCAGAAGCAAGATTTAACATGCGACTGCAACAACCAAACACAGATTCAGCAAGCAACATGGGATCCACCGCCACAAGCTGGAGACGACTCAGTGTCGGCATCGTGGGAGGCGGCATCGGCGGCCTCGCAGCAGCCATTGCCCTGCGCCGCGCCGGCCACGAGGTAACCATGTACGAGCGCCATGATTTCGCCGGCGAGGTGGGTGCTTCGATCTCATGCGCGGCGAACGGCACGCGCTGGCTGCACGAGTGGAAGGTGGATATCGCCAAGGGGGACCCCGTTGTGCTGCGCAAGCTGATCAACCGCGACTGGAAGACGGGGGAGCCCGTCAGCGTGTATGACCTGGATGGGTATGAAGAGCGCTGGGGATACGTGTACTACATGTTCCATCGGCAGTACATGCATGCCATGTTGAAGGACTGTGCGATGCAAGAGGAGGGGGAGGGGACGCCGGTGAAGTTGCTAGTGAACCATCAGGTAGGACTCATGACCACCCACATTGACATGGTACTAAGTGAGGCAGTGCAAAGACATCAACCTCGAGACCGGGGTGATCACCTTCGCCAACGGCAAAACCGCCCAGCACGACCTCATCGTCGGCGCAGACGGCATCGGCTCTGCTGTGCGTAGCATCATCGGTCTAAAGCCGGAGAAGAAACCCGCCGACTCGAGCTGTCTGCACGCCAACGTGCGCACCGAGGACGCTGTCCGCCTCGGGCTGGTCGATTACTCGCAGCACAGCGCGCTGGAGTACTGGGGCGGGCAGGACAACAGCTGGGACAAGATCGTGCTGTCGCCCTGCAACGGCGGCAGCCTGCTCTCGTACTACTGCTTCTTCCCGCGGGAGAAGGGCGATTTCACGAACCACACTTGGGGCGGGACGGACCGGCCGGTCGAGGAGCTGCTCGCGCCGTATCCCGAGCTGGATAAGCAGGTTCGGGCGCATCTGGCGATCGGGCAGGAGATCAGGCCGTGGCGGCTGTGGGTGCATCAGCCGTACCCGTATCTGGTCCGTAATATGGTGTGTCTGTTGGGCGATGCTGGTCATCCAGTACGTTGTCCCCCGTCGATCGAGATCGCGATGCATAGCTGATACTCTGTAGATGATGCCGCACCAGAGTCAGGGTGCCTGCATGGCTATCGAGGATGCCGCTGCGCTGGGCATCCTCTTCAGCCCGGACTATTTTGACGGCAATGTCGCCGAGTCTCTGCAGGCATACCAGGAGATTCGACTGCCGCGTGTTACCAAGGTGCAGACGGCGTCGGCCAAGGCAGCATCCAATATCAACGAGCGGATTGGTAGGCACCTCCGGTTTACAGGTGAAGTCGATGCTAACATCGACAGGTTTCTCAAGCAACACCAATATCCCAAAGTACAAGGTCGCCAGCGAGAAGGACAAGCTGACGATCGAGGAGATGAATGGGTGAGTCGTGACTGTTAATAGGTTGCCTGCACACTGTCTAACCTGCGACTCAGATACGACATGTACAAGGACGTCGAGGAGGTTCTCGCCAAACGCCGGGGACAGCCGTTTACGCAGCAGTATATCCGTGGTCTTCCCATCGGGTTGAAGTTATCGAATGGCACTGTCGTTGGCCAGCAGCCGTCTGCTCAGATGAAACTTTGACCTTTTTTGTGTGTTATATGATATACCCTTTGCCCGATTGAAGTAGGTAGGCTTTTTGTATTTGGTATTGTACAGAATGGTGACTACTTTTAATGAATCTTGCGAATAGCTTGAGCTAGGACAAGGCCTCTTTAAGCGATTCATATTGTATAGTCTACAGTAAGAGTGTAGAATTCACTGGCTAGGGGTACAGGTGTAGCATCCACTGCAAAACAGTCTACTTTTAATAGGTTCATATCCTAGTTAAACTCATCAGGATACTTGAATATACGATTATGCGCCGTATCATGTTCCACGCCAAATTGGATATGATTGATAACATCCTTTGGGCTGAGGGGTTGTGCCTTCTTCAGATTCCGCAGGTAAGCATCCTTGTTATGACACAGTATTTTCAGTGTACGATCTCGAGCCCAAAAGGTCTCGCTAGTCCTCCGGAATTTTTCAATCTCGAGGCACAGGTGTCGCCAGTAAAGGTCTTCATGTCGGATCTCGTTCAGCTCGAGGAGATAAGGAGCAGCTCGACAGCGCCAATAGCTGTCCATCGGGGGGCAGTGTACGGCCTGACAAAACTGTCGGACGCTCAGGTAGTCCAACCTGTCGAGAATCAAGCAAAGAATGTCGCAAGGCAGATTTAGCCGCGGCATCCTGGACCTCACTCGGGAGGACCGGCGCAGAGCCGGAGCCCGTCGTCGCTTGCATTCTTCGATCAGCCTCCCGACGACCGGGATTCGAAAGGGATCTACGGTTGAAACAGATCAGAGTCAGCCATCGTTTCCATCGATTGATTGATTTGGTCCCGTACCCTGTGCGCGTCGCTTCTTCGTCCATGTATCCCAAACCAGAAACTCCTCGGTGTGGAGTTCCGTCATCCTCTTTAATGAGACAGCAAGGATGGTATGGAGATGATTCTCCGCGTCAGGATCAACAAATCTCAGGGTCAATGACCAACATGAGGCATGAACCGCAAAGGCAAATTCACGCCAGTCCACCGGCTTAGCCAATGATCTGGACCACAAAGCGACATTCTGAGAGTGGTACCTGACGAGACCGGATGGGTCTCGGTTGGTTAAGCCAATGCATGCTTGGTTCCTGTCGATTGGAGCCTTGAAGTAGGTCTCTCTGGGATCTGCAAGATGTGCAATACCGGATAGTCGGTACGCCTGGCTCGATCGATCAAAATAGACTGTGTGTGATGATCAGCTCAACTCAACTCAATCGATTGAACGGCAGAAAGGAAACCAACTTAGACGTAAAGTATCCACCCACTCTTCCTTCTCCCGGAAGCGATACGTCCTTTCCAACTCGTCTGCATCGAGCCAAAGCAGCTGGGCTCCCTGACCCGACTCCTTCAAATCCCTGTAATGAACACAAATCGATTGACAGAAGCCAAAGCCGGCTTCAATGCCACATACGACACAGCCAGTGTAAAATTGGCCACCCATTGAGACTATTTGGTTTGAATCTTGGAGTACTCAAAGGAAAAAGTCTGATAATATCTGAATATTGATGTCATGGTGACAATGGTAAGCAATCGCGTTCCTCTGGTCCTACAACGTCGGATTCAATGTGAGAACCAAAGGAAAGAATATGATTCGATATGGATACTATCTCTAGAGAGAAACTATCTAAGTAAGTAGGCTTCACATGTTCACATTCAAAGCCACTCATGTTGGTAACTACGAAGGTACGGTGCCTTATGAAGATTGCTTGAAGCTTGATTCCTGTCTATCTAATGGTCCTTGCTAGAAGTAGGCCATTTCAGCCACGGTTGCTACCACAACTCAACTACCGCCCAGTGAGGCGCTCCTCCCTGATCTCCATGAGGCGCTCATGAACGACGGCAGAATGGCCCAATAGGTCATACCTGCCGGCGTAGAGCACTGGGGCAGATTTGGCCGTGTCCCACTTGTAGAATTCGACAGATCTGCCGACGGCGATAATGCCGTATTGGGGATGACGCCATGGGTGCTGAGCCACCATGTGTCTCATATATCTTCGCAGCTGCTCAAAGCCCTCCGTCCAGGTGGCCTCGTCATCCTCTCTTGCAGTGCGCTTGCACTGCGTCACAAGGAATGGTGTCCTCACACGCCTAGGTTGATTTGGCCGAACTACCCACTGGTAGCTACTCATATCAACATAGCCCCCTTCGACTTTGTCCTGTGTTCTATGGACAAAACCATTACTTTGATTAAAGTAATAGTTGAGGAGGAGGTCCCAGACGCCAGTTACGGCGCCCTCATAGTCTTGGTCTCTGGCGGCCCGATATTCATCATGGAACGTCAAGACGTATCGTACTTGAACACAGGGAGGATCAGTATTAGTAGTGTATATAGCCAATGGGAATCATACTTACCGACTTGAGGCTCATATCTCGAGCTGTCATTGTGTCCTGATCTGTGATGAATGTGATTCTGATTCATCATTAGCTGTTTTCAATACGCAAGGAGCATGAGCACTAACTTTGCTCTGGAGGAAAAAGAGGGTGATATCAACAATGATTCTATTAGATTGACTTATAATAAGGCAAGGAAGAAAGAAGGCATTGATTCTAACTTCTGAGGCCTAGAAATGAGTCACGGAGAGAGGGTGTGGGAGGGAGAGAAGAAAGAAGGAGAAGAGACGTGAACAGTGTCCCTTAGTCCGGGCTGTACTCGCTTCGAGATGGTAACATTCACTGTCAGTCTGGGAATTCACAGCGTGAGAAGGGTTGGCAGTGAATGTGAATATCTTTTTTGAAGTACGATGAGTCTGTATGATCTATAAATAGAGATGAAGAGTGTCTACTCGTTCCATGGTAGACAAGATAAAAAGATCGACGAGTCACACGCCCAAGATGAATCTTCAAGGACGTTGCTGATGCTATTTCGATGTCACTCCCTATACTTGACGAGTGAGTCATCCAAAGCACTATAAACCTCTTTTCATCCATCATTCCATTCTACCACACACCATGTCGTCCCAACGCACTGAACTCGGAGATTTTGCAAAGCTGCCGCCTGAGCTGCGGCTCTGTATATGGGACTGGCTACTCCCTTATGCAGACACCAAACGTTTTCCTGAAATGGAATGGCCGAGACGAAACACTTCGCTTACTATCCTTTGCACTAGCAGGAGGCTACGTGACGAGATTTCGCATCATCTGTATTCCAACCTTACTGTCTCATTCAGCGTTGATCCACTCGAAGCATCATGGACTTACTGTAGAATCCCAAAGTTCAGCCTGAGATTCACACTCGGCTGTATGGGCCGCGCATCCCATCTCGGCTTGGACAATTTCCCTTTCCATAGGGTACATGTGCGCGTCGACATCCTGCCACCGAAACCCGCAAGTCCTGGCCAACTGATACTACTGTTTGAAAGGCTCCGGGTGCTAGTTGACTTTCTCAGTATCACAAAGACTATAAGAACCCTGGAGATCCAACTTCTTCACGCAAATAAGAGAAGAAAATGGCATGTCCATGGGAAACCACTGAGAAGTCTGACATATGCGCCGTGGTTCGATTACGATTTCATGGACCACCAGATTGTCTACCTACCCTTCTGTCGATTGGATAATGCTCCATCCAAGGCAATGTATTACTCGAAAAAATGCGCCATGGTCCTAGATTGGACGATTCCCGCAGGCGCAGGGGTATATTTCAGAGACGACGGCGACCGACCCACCTATGGATTTGACGACATCGACCTCTTCTTTTCGAAACTCAACAATTGCTTCATTGATCGAATTGAGAAGAGATTACCCGGGCCAACAGCCCGTGCACTGCGGCATCAACTGAAGCAATGGGCGAAAGCGGGCATGCAGAAAGACGCTTTCAAATTTGACATATTATGCTCCCGAAAAGGATACAGACAGCTGCGCAGTCTATGCTTGGAATCAGATAATATACCTTCCCAGTCCTATGGCTAGCCTGAGGTGATTCAGAACGTCCGGAATTGTGATGACGGTACCTCAGATAAGCCCTAATATGGTATGATTCAATTCAAGGATATAAAGGCTTCAGAAGAATGATGCTCTCAGATGACGTATGGAAGGAAAATACACCAGCACAGTGTATGCTTGGAGGTAAAAGGTCTCTCTGTCACTTGTTGTTGAATGATATGATATGATGCCAGGACTTGGAGCGTCACTCTTTCCCGATTACCACCACCTCCACCACCTCCACGACAGCAGAGCAAGTAAGTGATGTGTTTGGATGATTAAGGCCACGCTCTGAATTCTCTGTTTCTTTCCAATTCATGCACTTTGTTGATCAAGCTTCTTGCTTTGGATTAAGAACGACGTAACCCTGTACAGGAAGCCAGGAGGCTTCTTCAGGCGGCAATGGAGGTAACGAACCAGGAGGAGAAGGCTGCAGCCATGGAGCTGCCACAGCAGAAGAAGCGTCGGTATTAAACTGTCTTCTTCGGTTCTGTATCCCCCTATTCTTATTTTGTAGCTGTGGCTCTGGATCTGGGGTTGAGGTCATTGCAACTTGTAGGGATGTGAAGTATCATTAAGTGAAGCCTTATAGCCAGCTGTCTGACATTTTCGGATAAATGGAACTTGTTTTGGTCATTAACCAGCCTTGATTGCTCAGATACCTTTTTGATCTCTTTGTTTTAGTTACCTTGGCCCATTTCCTGGAAAATGCCGCAGCATTCTACTAGTTCCATATAGATGGGAATGATCCACATTAGCTCGAAGCCTGACATAGTGAGCAGCAGCGGTGCAGAAGCTGATCTGAATTGTCCAGATTGTCAAGAAGCAAGTCAATCTCATATTTCTGGGGATGCGTCTATCCATCTTTTGATCGCTAGAGCAAGTAGTAGACAAGAGGACGCACAGCAGCCGTAACACCTAATAAACACACGCACATTTTACCATGGAGTTCAAGGCACCATAGTATTCTTGCTGTCCCTATCATCTGCCATGCTTTCCGCGTCTCTAGTGGTAGCTTCGCTGTGGGGAATAGCTCGATAATCCGCAATCCGCTCCCCCGCTGCCGGGGGGACGGAACGATTGTCTCGCACGTTTTCGGAAGATGGCTTGCCTCGACTGAGATCAAGAGGATATATGCTGGGAGGAGGAGCAGGACGTGAAGCGCTAACATCAGGACTGAGAGTAGGATATCCGACAGGACAATTCCTGACATGATGTTCAGAGTGTTGGTTTCATAAGGTGTATAGCTTGAATCCCCCATTATAGTGGGGACGTGGCTCATAAGCGCCTCGGCGCTGGCGTGGACCATCGCTGGAAGAGCTAGGGCTTTCCATCGTTTGTAGTCGCGGCAGCTGCTAACGAGGCTCATTTGGCCTGGGGCGAGGACCATCCGGGCTGTCCAGAAGAAGTGGTTCTCTGCGAGGAGTACCGATGAGAGAATATAGGCGATTGGGTTGAGGTATTCATGCTGCAGGATGAGGGAGTGCAGGAGTTTTGTTATTGCAAAGCGAGAAATCCAGTAGGTGCAGGCAGCACCGAAACCATGCAGACCGAACTGGTAGTTGAGGGTAGACAGGGTGTGTGCAAGCCGTCGACTGGAAGGGACTTTTTTCTCCTTACCCAGTTCATGGGAGTTGATTTGGGTCTCGGCGGTTTCGAGGATCAAGATAGACATAATGACGTGCCCGGTAACATAGCGGATCTTGCTGTCTTTAGCGTTGAAGGAAAGGAAGATTGTGGCAGGAGGGCAACGCTACCAGCAGATTGAGAATGATCCCCGCGACGACTGGGACCAGCCAGGTGAAGCTATTCGCTTGGGCATGTTCCTTGTTGAACAGCCTATGGGCGCGCGCAAGAAGAGGATCATCTCCTGATGAATGGATGACGGTGTTGAATAACTGGCGAAATAGTGTCAGGAGGAAATATGCCATTCTCTTGGATTTGGTGACTGGAGTTGGCATCGATTCACTCTCTCCCTGCTTGGTGATAGATAAATGGTGAAAGGTGGCCACAATCCATGTCTCAGGCAGAAGGAAATAAATCACAGAATAGCGCACACAAGGCTACAGCAGACCTGCATTAATAGATTGGCAGAGGATATGCCACCTAGTCTAACTGCTCAATTGCATGACACCGTTCCTCTATAGTGAGAGTATTTGCATCTCGAAGAGCGAATGGGTCTAATATGTTAAAGACAAAGTCCCACTTGGTGCTCTGTAGCTCTGACCATACAGGCTGCGGGCTTTGGTTAGCTGATGCAGGATTTAAATAGCTCAACACCCCGCGCTGGCCGGAATACAGCCATTGCAACCCTCAACTCAATTGATCAATTGCTTCTTGGTATCACCGGTACACAATGTCTCCCATCCGCTTTGGAATTCTCATGGTACCCTACCAGACTCTCGATGTCGCCGGGCCAGTGGACATCCTCTCTTCGTGCTCCCAGCCATACCTCCAAGTCATGGAGAAGGGCGGTGCGGTCCCCAAAGGCACCTCAGGCGCCGGCCTCGAGATTGAATTCCACTACGTGAGCACCGATATGAAGCCCGTCCAACACACAGGCAACCTGCAGTCCCTGCCAACCACCACCTGCAACGCATGTCCCCCTCTCGACTACCTGTTGATCGGCGGACCAGCACCAGACTACCAGCTACCGGAGACTTTCGCATCCTTGATCCGCGTCCGGGCTCAGGAGGTCAAGGCCATTTTCACGACCTGTACAGGCGCCTTGCTGCTCGCTCAAACGGGTCTTTTGGACGGTAAAAATGCGACCGTCAATCATGTGCTCCTGCCGTATGCTCGGATGCAGTACCCGTCGGTCCACTGGAGCGACTCGCAGCAGTGGGTCATTGACGGACGCTTCTGGACTGCTTCTGGGGCGTGTGCCGGGATGGATATGTTCGCGCACTGGGTGACGGAGAATTGCCATCCGGATGTTGTTCGGGGCGGCTTTGCGAGTTTGGATTTTGCACCTAGAGACATCTACGGGAAGCCCCAGAGTATCTTAAGCAATCATGCTGCAGAATAAGAAGAGGAGCTGAGACTGAGGGTATAGCTAGTCGGTAGACTGGAGCACTCAGCGTGCGAGATGGACATCTCCATTCTCCTTTTCTTGCAGATGAGGGGATGCATCCATCTTGAATTTGTCAGATATGCTGTGCTATCATGCCAGTGTTATTTCTCTTGCTTCTTTCAGTTCAATCGAAATTTTGATGATAGTTAAAAATCAATAGGAATATATCCATAGATCGTGTGCCACGTGTTGGTGGACGGATCGTGCTCGTTCCGCGAGAAGTGCAGAAAGGCCTGATCACGGCTTCGGCTCAACTTCGCAATGTCTTCCTCCGTCGTTCCGGGAGGATACCCGTCTCGTGGCCGAAAGACGCCGAGGGGTTTAATGCGTGCTTCTCCTGGGATCCCTACTGCTGCTGATGTCCCGGTTATCTCGGCAAGTGCAGAGTCTGGGCTTGCGCCAAGTTTGAAGTCCATGCCGAAGGGACTGCTCGGGTCGCTAATGCCTTGACAATAGGACTGATATTTAATGGATGCATTCTTTGCTTCTGCTGTCGTAAAATCGGTCGTCATTGCCATCCCATAGATTTCTTCAAACATCATGATCCTTTCGCTCATAGTGACCCCGTGCTCGCGCTTTTGAAGTCCCTCCACCTGATGCGCTTGTCGAAGCAGAGCGAGTGCTGTGCGTCGAATTGTGGGTTCGCGACACCTGACACATGTGAACCAAATCGGAAGACCAACGCTGAGTTCAAACGTAAATGGTGGTTGTGTGCCGTCATGTCGCGCTGAACCACTTAAAGCGATGCGAGATTGTTCAGCTATCGTTTGGAAATTGTGTATATAAGCGTCAGTCGTGATCCGCGCTGGTGATATGCAGACCCCGAGGATGATGAATAACATTTCATGGTAACTGAGGAGAAGGGCGCCGGTACTGACTTGCACCGGGTCTTTCGTGCAGAGCGAGCCCATCAAGTTAGTAAAAGCAGTGTGCCAGCCGCGTAGCCTAGCCGACAGGGTTCGTCGCTGATTCATCATTTCCTGGGATATATAGCCGGCATGCGACTTTATTAGATACTCTTCGCAAGCTAATTCAAAGAGCGAGATCTCTATCAAGAGGATGACGATGGCCTCCCGAGCAGACTTCAGGGAGACAAACTCTTGCGTGACTACAGGTCCAGTCTCTCGTAATAGAGCGCTCACTAGAGCCCCGGAATTGAGAGTGACTGCTCCTAAACGGACAAAAATCGGGATAATTGTATCCTTTAATAGGGAGGTTTTGGTTGCTGTCATGGCCTTGCAAGCGTTTTGGGAGCGCAACGCGAGAATGAGATGCACACCTTGACCATAGAGGTGGATAGCCTCCTCCATATTTCCTAAGAGGGCCTCAATGCAGATAAATAAGATGCATGTAATCAGTCCGACAAAGTTGTCTACCGTACCGCGTTCAATTCCCTGGCGAACGGCAGACACCGAGCGCGAATACCAGTCCAACGCGTCTTGTTGGTTTTGATTGAAGGTGCGAGAATGATCCCGGCGTAGGGAGGCGAGATCCGGGCACGGATCAGGAGACTCAAACAGTGAACTTATAGAGACCATGGCATCCCACACAGCAGGTTCACTCCGGCAAACCTGCGGGACAATAGAGCTCCAGAAATCAAGATCCAGTCCACCCCCGATGGACGCTGCGGCGTACTGGAAATAGTAGGCAAAAGCGCGACGCTCTCGCCATACTGTGTTTGAGAGTAATGGAGGGGAGTTGTTGAGGATGGACATCACAGAAGCTGAGGAGGAAAATGTGTGGGAAATTGTACTATCATACTCGCACTTGCGACCCGTGCTAGTGCATCGGAGACAGTTAGGCTTTTCTTCTCCACACTTGACTCTTCGAATTCTAGAACGTGATTAATCCTTTACTCTTTCTGTGAAAAGAAAGGAAGTACCAACTTGCAGGTTTTGCATCCAAGCCTTGATCTCAGGGGCTTGATTGAGCTATGGGCTGAGGCTGACGGGCGAACGGACATATTGATGACGTCCAGAGCAGTGGCTCCCCGTCGCTGTCGAGCGCTGGCAATCAGAGCACAATGTGCCGACCGATGATCAAGGCACGTATTCAATGAAGCAATGACGAGAGCTTGGGTATAAATCCCGAGATCGTGAAAACAGGAGAATACCTTGAGGGCCACAGAAAAGGAGGAAAGTCAAACACCCTCTGGCGAGGATTAACATGGAACGTGATTGGTCAGAAAGCAGCTTTAGGACCCGCAGCCATCACGGGACCTTGAATCACCGGAAAATTCATCCAACCGAAGTCCAAAGCATGTGGAAAATCAAGACCACAGTGCTCACCTCTGTTGTAGACTGGTGGAATATCCCTTATTTAGTGCTTAGGATGCAAAATAGGTGGGAATGGGCTACCCAATCTGCCCCAGCCCGGCCTAACGGGTACCCCGAACCACTATGGGGCGGACTGGGTCCCTGGGACGGCTTCTGCGGGCCGGGTTCCAAGTCTAGATGGTGCAAAGGATCCAAAACAACAAGGCATTTGTCCAATCGAAACCACTTCTTGTCTGGATATGGAGCATGCTGGCTATGTCTAAGCGGATGACATGTAATACATACCGAAGACGGAGCATTTGCATTGAGGCTTTCCAATACGTCAAGTTGGCACTGGCAGTTGTGTCAATGGTTCACTACCAAGCATCATGTCTGGATGAAAAATGATATTCCATTCTCATGACTAAATATTAGTAATTCTGAGCGGAATTATTCCTCGGAGCCTACCAGTGTTTTTGATAGCAGGAGACATTACCCAATCCAAGATCGTTTGATTGATGATAGAGGCTACGCATGTCATTCCCGTACGGAGACAGTTGGTTTATCAAGATATCCTGTGCATTGACTAAGCGGAAGATGACAATATCTGCCACGGTTTGACAAATCCAAGGATAGTGATAGCGTATGCATCATTCATGAGATGCTACGGTGCTATACTTGAAAGGTTATAAAGCCATCTAGATGTGCAATGGCAGCCTCATCTGACAGATCCTCAACTCATCGGTCCTTTAATCTTCACCTCAGAAGCGATTAACAAATACCATTCTGCCAAAATGTCGCCTAAAGTAGCCATTGCTGGAGTAAGTACATCGGCGCTTCCCCAGCCTATCACATCTATCTTCAAGGGTCACTAACATACCTTTTCAGGCCACTGGCAACCTTGGCCCAGTTGTACTCAGAGCCCTGCTCCGCGCCGGCTTTGAGGTCACCGTCTTGACCAGGGCTGAAAGTGACAGAAGCAACAACAACTTCGGCCCAGCCCACGTGGTACCAGTCGACTACAGCTCCTTGGACTCCTTGACAGCAGCCCTCAAAGGTTCAAATATAGTCGTCAACACCCTCGGAGCTATCCCCCGGGAGATCCATCTCAGATTGATAGACGCAGCCGTCGCTGCCCAGGTCCAGCGCTTCATCCCCTCAGAGTTCGGCTCCGACACAACCAACGCCACTGCAGCCAAGCTCCCAGTCTACCAGGACAAGGTCGCCATTCAGAAATATCTCCGGGAAAAAGCAGCAGAATCTGACGGGGAGTTCTCCTACACCATCCTCATCAATGGCCCCTTCCTCGACTGGGGTCTGACGGTCGAGTTCTTGCTTAACTGGCGGGGCCCAGAAGCAGAGCTATACGATGAAGGGGAACGAAAGTTCAGCGCGACGACGCTCGCGGGAGTAGCCAAGGGCGTTGTTGGCATAATCAACAACCTCAGAGGCCACGAGGAATCGCACAGTGTATATCCGTGAGACTGACGTCTCTCAGAACGAGCTGCTGGAGCTCTCGGGCAAGCAAGTGCCCACGAAGTCCATCGACACGGCTGAGCTGGAGAAAGATGGTTATGCCGAGCTCGCCAAGCCGAGCCCGAACCCAGGGGTATTTGTGCTCAGTTTTTTCAGGCGAGCTATTTTCGGTGAAGGGTGCGGCAGTCTTTTCCCTGCTGAGCGTCTCAGCAATGATTTGCTGGGTGTGGGAACGCTTAGCAAGGAGGAACTGCAGGAGATTGTGTCTAGGTCTACAGAGTAGGGTTGAAGTTAGACATTTTACTATACATCAGCAGAATTGTATAAATGCCTTTTAGCACTCTTTCAGTGGTCGTATACAAGAGCTCTCCATTTAATGTCGAGTATATTTAGATAATGAGTGTCCGTTGTAAGTCTATATCTTAGGTAGTGGTTCGGTATTCAACATCCTTGAAAAGATGCACACAATCGGCCACAGAAGGTGGCTCCTCGAAGGATCTGATGGATTGCATCGCAACTAACACACCTCAATCAAACAGAAACATGCAGTGCAAAACTGCAAATAGACAACCTAAAATCCAGGTTCAAACCGCCCCCTCAACAACCTCAACATCTCTCTCGGATCATCCTCCTCCACAATGAAATCGTGGGCGTACTTCGACACCGAGGTCGCAATAACAAGAGCGATGTAGGCAACGTCGCCCCGAATCCGTCGTACATCGTCTCTCATCCACCGATACATCCGCAAGGCATGATCATATTCAACCCGGTTCTTTTCGTCCAGATCCGAATAGCGCAGAGCGCCTATCTGGAAGTCTCCGCAAGCTGGAAGGGCGGGCTCATCCGGCACAGCTGGCGAGTCGGCAGAGTCAGGGTCGATGTAGGGCCAGACGTTCTTGCACATGGACGCCAGCTGGACCCCCTTATACCAGACAGGCCAGTCATCGCGGTCTGCGAGGATGATTGCCTTGGATGTGGCGGTGAGCAACTGGCTTATGTTTTCATTCATATTGAGGATTTGGCTAGTGTTTCCTAAAATCTATTGAGCGTAAAGGATAGTCTGCAGTGTCATAAGTGTATACCAGAGGTAGGCAATCAATGACGTTGTTTGCCACCAGACAACCCCAGATCTAACTGCTGACTTCCGAGGCTTTCATTCGGTTAGCCGCTTCATTCGCTTGTTTTTCTTTGGCGTTAATTATATAAACTTTGTCGGACAGGATGAATCTTGAATTCTTGATAGTATCAATATGTCTCATACTCTGGTGAAAAAATGGTATTTTGGCTAGTCTTGTGATTCGGATACCTAAGGTACCGCAGCTCTAGGGTCCAGTATTCATTCCTGGTGCGCAAGTATTGCAGCTTCTCTTAATAAGACTGATATCCCTGGGTTGATGACTACAGGCATATGACCGCCCGAAGTGACTGCACGAAGAGATAGAGACTGAAGAGTCAGCTGACTTGCAAAACCCTAAAGCAGCATCAGGCTGAGTAAACAAACTCCCTGTCCAAATCCCCCTCAAATACCCCTGTTCAAATACCATAAGCTTTAATGCCGAGACTAAAACGAAGCTTAGGAGGCCTCAAGGTAGACTCTGATTGGTGGATTCATCGTTCCCCATGATTTCCCCGGATTTCTCCGCAAATTACACAACAATCATGTATCCCACACTGGTGGCTGCATTAGTTCATGGATAGGGTTCTGCAGGGGAATCTGATTGATGGAATTGCTTAGCTGTGGGATATAGTCTGGAGATTGCGTAGCCACAACTATGTATAAAGAGGGCTGAATGGCCCCATATCCAACCATACAACCAGTATCGAACTATCGATCCTTACTTACACACTATGCTAGGTCTTTCTCTCGCCCTGGCTGCCTGCGTGGCTGTCACGCAGGCTCTACCAGGCTACCCTGTGGCGCGCGATACCTCGGGCACCTGTTCTGGCGTGCATGCGCGCGTGTCGCCCCCCGCAGGAGCAGTGGTGGTGGACAACAGCGCGAACCCTCATCCGGGATCGTATGCGACTGTGCAGGCCGGTGTCAATGCGCTCAACACCACCACGACCCATCCCCAAGAACTTTTCATCTTCCCTGGCACCTACACCGAGCAGGTCTACATTCCCCGCCTCCAGTCCAACCTGACCGTGCAGGGGTACACCTGCAACGCCAAAAGCTACGAGCACAACAAGGCCACCATCACATACAACCTGGCCCTGATCAACACCACCAGCGACGATCTGACCGCCACTCTGCGCCAATGGAACCCCAACACCAAGATCTACAACCTCAACATCGTCAACACGTTCGGCCACATCCCCAAGAACGGGCAGAACCTGGCGGTCTCGGCCGAGGCGGACGGCCAGGCATACTATGGCTGTCAGCTGATCGGATACCAGGACACGCTGCTGGCCGAGACGGGCCGCCAGCTGTACGCCAAAACCCTCATCGTCGGCGCGGTGGACTTTATCTTCGGGCAGAAGGCGCTGGCCTGGCTCGAGAGCATCGACATCCGCACGATTGCCAATGGCTGCATCACCGCGTCCGGCCGCGACAGCGACAGCGACGCCAACCCTTCCTGGTACGTGATCAGCCGGTCCACCGTCTCCGCCATCAACGACACCATTCCCGCGGGGATCAGCTACCTCGGCCGTCCGTGGCGGGACTATGCTCGTGTCGTCTTCCAGGAAACCTACCTGGGGAACAACATCGCCGCTGCTGGCTGGTCCACGTGGTCCACGAGCACCCCGAACACGGACCATGTCACCTTTGCCGAGTATGAGAACTACGGACCGGGCTCGGTGTCGCAGGAGGGGCCGCGCGCCAACTTCAGCCAGCAGCTGACTGCGCCGATCTCTGTCCGGTCGATTCTGGGAGAGACCTTTGAGGATGAGTGGTGGGTTGACACAGACTATCTGCATCCCAGCGACCTCAACAAGGATAAGTCCAAGACTTCTGCCTCGGCCTCTGTTCCCACCACCTCAGCAGCTACCACGGTATCAACGACAACAGCCTCCCCCTGCACCTGCACCTCCTACTCCCAGATCCCCTCCGCCGTGGCCTCCTGCACAAACATCGTCCTCTCCAACATCGCCGCCCCCAGCGGCTCCGCCATCGACCTCTCCGCCCTTCTTCCCGGCACAACCGTCACCTTCGACGGCACCACCACCTTCGGCTTCACCAACTCCTCCTCCTTCGACCCCATCACCATCTCCGGCTCCAACATCACCATCACCGCCAACCCGGGCGCCGTCATCGACGGCAACGGCCCCGCCTACTGGGACGGCCTCGGCTCCAACGGCGGCGTCCCGAAACCGAACCACTTCATCGTCGTCAAGAAGGTCACCGGCCACTCGGCCATCCGCAACCTGAACATCCGCAACTGGCCCGTCCACCTGTTCTACATCTCCAGCTGCTCGGACCTGCTGTTCGAGGACCTGCTGCTGAACAACACCGCCGGCGATGCGCCGAATGCGCGCAGCGGGGCGCTGGCCGCCGCACATAACTCGGACGGGTTTGACGTGAGCTCGTCGAGCAATATCGTGATCCGCCGGAGCGCGGTGTACAACCAGGACGACTGCGTCGCCATCACGAGCGGCGACAACATGACCGTGTCGGAGCTGGAGTGCCACGGTGGCCACGGGCTGAGTATCGGGTCTGTGGGGGGGAAGAGTAACAACAACGTGACCAATATCCTGGTATCCCTCCGGACCCTCTCTCCCCCCAGCCAGGCTGATTAAGAGCCTATGCTAACGCGCATAGTTCACCGACTCCGCGGTCTACGACTCGGAAAATGGCTGCCGCATCAAGTCCAACTACAACACCACCGGCTACATCGCCAACATCACCTACTCCAACATCCGCATCCGCGCCGCCTCGATCTACGGCATCGACATCCAGCAGGATTACCTCAATGGGGGTCCGACGGGGAGCCCCTCCAACGGCGTCCTGATCGAGAACGTGAGCTTCCGGAATGTCTCCGGCACGGCGACTTCGGCTGCCCGCGACTACTACGTTCTCTGCGGGGATGGGTCGTGTCGGGATTTCGTTTTTGAGAATGTGGATATCGCTGGGGGTGGTGTTGGCAGCAGCTGCAATTATCCCGCAAGTGGATGTCCGTAGCTTGTAGATATATTTGTTAATCGACGTTTTGTACACGGTCTCAATAACTAGAGGGGAAACAAGCCTTCAGACTCTTCAAAATCAAGCTACTGCTAATTGACATCTTGCATAGCCTACACACCCAGTCAAAGACAATTCATATGAAAGAATTCATATTCAAAATATCAGCTACCTTTACAAAGGAAAGACATTGACCAACTCCTTGTCCTGAATCATCAACTGGAACCTAAGGCAACTCGAGCATGGTCTACCATGTGCATCAGTCGATATGATGGATCTCGGAGCAAGTCAACCAGAATTTTCTCATTTCTCATTTTGCAATTTTTTTTTTTTGTTTTTTTTTGTTGTCAAGTCTCAGTATCGCCAAGCTGCATACTGTCGTCTGTCGTCTGCGTTAGTCGGTCATATCGTCATGATCTCGTTACATCAATATCTTAGAGGCCGTCAGAAAAAATCCTCGGGCCATCGAAAGTCCTCTTCCATGGGTTGTGTCTGGCCCGAGATCTGCATGTGTGCGTTCCTCCGCTTCCAGATCTCCTTCGCTAGCCGTCGATCTACCTTTGCAGCTGTGGCAGCTAGGTTTTTCGGGAGTGGAGGCACAGGCGGGATACGCTCGTGCTCGTAGCCCCGGCTGGGGGTGGATGCTGGAGTGGGAGCGCCGGACCTGTCGTCCAGTTCCTTCAGATCTAGGATCGGATAGTCGAGGTAAGGCTCCTGTGGAGGTTCGTTCTCGCGGTTCGGTTGCTTCTCGAGCTCATGCAACTGATTCTCGCTGGCACTGGAGCTGGCGGAGCGAAGATCTGAGCGTCCTTGCTTCATCCGGAGACATGGCGTCGTTCGACTCCGCGAGGTTGATCTTCGTCCGTGGGTGGAGGGGGAGCGGGTGTTTGAGCGTCGACGGGGTTGAGGTTGGTTTCTTCCTCGGTATTCGTGCTCTTCTGGCTGGGTTTGATCCTGCGTCCGCTTTCGCTCAACAGATCCAGGACTGTCGCTCTTTCCCATTTTTGTCGCCTTTCGGGGTGTATTGGTTTCATGAAAACGGGCGGGTTCTTCATACCGAGTCTCCTTCTTAGGAGAATCTTTAGTCATTTGATGAACTTTGTCACGGACTGTCTTTGGATCCGGCGACTTTCTCTTTAGGGACGGGCTTTCCACAGGCACGGCAGGTGTCTTTTTTTTTGGTGAGCTTCGAGCGGTTTTGCCGACGACGCTCGCATCCTCCAATCCGTTCCCCTGGCTCTCAGCCACTCGTCGGACATTCCCAGACGTGACGGACAGAGGCGCTAGCTCGACTGCTTGTGAATCAGGCACTGCTGTGGCATCATTCTCGTAGAATCGCTCCGAAGGTAGCGTGGGGAGGGCACCGGGCACGAACTGTCGATGATAGGGTCTCTCCTGGCAGAGTGTCCTTACCGGCTCCTCCTCCTCGCCCGTCAGCTCGCGCAGCTCGCGCCTCGCGCGTTCAAGCTTCCCCTCGAGATCACTGACCCGCTTCAGCAGCTTGGTTTGCTTCTGTAGCTCCTTGCGGGATCGCGATTTGCGCACTTCGGGACGCTCCGAGTCCTCCGATCCTCGCTTGATATAATGGATGCCTAGCGACGACTTGGCCTTGCGTAGTTCCTGGAACGAACTCCGAATCGAGCTTCCAGACCCGTATCCTTCTCCGGAATTCTGCCTCGAGTGACGCCCCATAGTCTTGCTGCCGTCCCACTGCGCCTGGCTCGCTCTGCAAGAGTGCTCCGCAACGGGAGCCCTCATCTGCACGTCCTGCATATAGCTTCCCTTGACAGTCCCCTTGTAGCCTGCCTTCTTAAGCTCCGCGTACGCCTTCTCCGCCTGCACCCTGGCATCGACTTCCGGCCTGTGCTCGGACTGCGAGCCGCGCCAGATATCAGAGACATTCCCCCACACCCCAAACGGATTGAACGCCGATGCAATCGCCTTCCCAAACCGGAAGATACCAGATGACCTCTGACCTGCGCCGCTATCGTGCTGCGCGGATGCGCCCGCGTCTTCGCGCATGAAGATACTCGGCGGCTTTTCGCTCACGCTGTCGTTCATGTGCTCCTCGATGAAGCGAGACCGGCGGCCCCGTCCATTTCGACGAGGTGAGCCGTGACTCGAGTTCCTGAACGGCCAGCAGTGATTGCCTTTGTCCTTTGGTGGGGGCGTTTCTTCGCCGGGTTGGAGCGGCCAATCGTTTGAACGGCGGCGCTTGGTTGAGTGCGCGGACGGCGAGTTGGTAGGTTGCTCGTATGGATCACATTCCTCCGCGTCATCGAAGCGGCCAGATTCGTCCGAAGGCCAGTCCGACGGCCAGTCCGAGTCCACGGCAGAGGTGCGCGAGTGCTTGCGAGAATGGGAGGAGTAGCCGTTGGGACGTTTGAAAGTCGAGCGGACGGCTTGTTGCAACTGGCGGTCCGCTTCGTAGGGGTCGCTCTCCAGGTGCACCTGGGCGCAGGACATCTAGCAACGAAATCGATGAGTAAAAGTGTCCATGGCGGGTGAACCGCATCGTGGAACAGTGACGCGCGAGGGCGAGCGCGAGGGGCAAGCAATGTGTAGCACGAAGAAAGGGTTCATAAGACAAACAAACCTCCGCATCGATCTCGCTCGCTGTCATGCCGACTGACCGCCCGCAATACTCGTGGTTGATTTTATGTTAGAGACTGCAAACATAGAGACTGATCATAATGATACACCTGGCGTAAGAAAGAGTCGAAGAAAAGGAAAAGAGATCTCTGGTGGCTAAAAGGCGGGGGTGTTGTTGTTATGTTGTTATGTGTTGTTGTTGTTGTTGTTGATGGTCTTGTTTACATTCGGTGTTTGAACAAGTATGCGCCAAGCACGCTCGACGGGGGTTTCGATTAAATAGCGTCTTCAGAGATAAAGATTAAAGACCATCAGTATTCATGGGTCCCCGGGTTTTTGAGATAAATCAAGACACTAAGGTGATGACTCGAATGCCTCGAGTCCGGAGGGAATTCTCCAGAGCTGTTGTATGTTTGACTACGGAGTGCTAGAAATGAATGTCTCGGTCTGACATGTTCCCTTTGCCTGTGTTCAGTCACTCAATTATGCAGGACAACAGGCCAATGGGTCGATGGACCCCAGTTAACATTCTTCTTTGCACAGTCAGGCAGATCCCAATTGAATTTCTAGTCTCTGATTGCCAATGCTATGCGAATAGAAGTCTCGTATCTGAGTTTTGTGATCTGATCGTATTGGACAAACATCTATCACGTTCTGAAAAAGGGCATGGCGCTCTGACGCGGGCTGCAGATTTTTGAAGCAAATACAGGAAATAAAGGAATGAAGTAGCAAAAAACCGTGCCAATATATCCACCAATGGCTGAAAAGAACCAAAAGACGAGCAGGACGAGAAGTAGCGTTCATCGATAGGATTGTCGAGCTTTGACTGTCGGCAGGTATAGACTCACGAGCTCAGATAAGCAGGCAAGAAGCAAGAATATACAAAAGAAAATGTGATGGCGGCAACCACTATAGTCGGATTGATGGAGATAAGAAGAAAGAAATTTCCAGCGTCCAAGCCGAATACACAAGAGTACAATGGAGAGAAGTTGAATCATCCGAAAAGAACATAATCTTCAACTGGCGAACACGTTCGCGCAAAAGTCGTCTTATAAATTGAAAAAAGTTTCTGAACACGTTAGGGTAGCGCTGGCGAAATCTTCATGACCATCCTTCCATTCGCTCGTTTGTATGCCATCTCATCACGAGAATCGGTGTAGAACGATAGCCGGCCATAATCAGGCTGCTTCCGAGCCATGTTAGGGTACTGATCCATATCAGGCCGCATCCCGTTGTGCAGAGGACGCTCATCATTACCGAAGGTATCCTCATGCGATCGTTTGGAAAGGGTATGATTCGTTTCCCACAACAGACGCTTCCCGGAACCAAGGTCGTGATTCGGGCTCTGCGCGTTGCCATTCATGGGCTGCGGCGGGTTGTGGGAATATTCACCCGAGAGAATTTTCAAGGGTGGGAGCGAGGTTACATGGTTTGAAGGAGTGGGGGCACGAGGTACCGGAGGTTGTGTCAGGGGTTGGTAGAGATTCGCGTCGGAGGAGCGAGAATCAGTAGAGGTCTGCATGTTCGGCGCCTTTGGCGGCTCTAGACGGAGGGGAGGTAGGGCTGCCTTGGAATAGCTCGGACGTTCAGCCGGCAGGCGCGGCTGGGGGTATGGGTAGCCAGAGGGAGTGGCGTCGTACTCGGTGCCGTTGGAAGGATTTCTTGAGTGAGAATAGGAAGGGTGTGGAGAATATGTGTTTGCGGGAGTTGCCGACTGAGGGGTTGGCGGCAGTTGGGGAGCCGGATACTGGCTTTGCGTCGCTCCGAACGAAAGGTGAGACTGATATGAAGATGTCTGTGCCGAAGGTGCGGGGGTGTGGACGGAAGCTGGAACGGGAGCTGCGGGAGCTGCTGGGATGGATCGTTGGTATGGCTGCGCGCCTTGGAATCCGTAATCGCTTGCAGACGGCCGTCTTTGCGCATCAGAGCCATATGGGAAGGCGGCATCAGCGGTAGTACTGATGCTGGTGGAACGAGCACGCTCAGCCGAATTCGCCGCGTACACGTCAGGGGTGGTGTATCTGTCCGACCGAGCACCAAAGACCCTCTCGTCGTCGAAGTCGTAATCGTCGGTGCGCTTCTCGCCGCGGCGTCTCATACGCACATCCCGTCGAATACGGACTCGGCAGCCTTGCTCTGCAATGATGCGGCTGAGGGATGTGCTTGTGGCCAGTCCAGGGAACTTCTTGGCACTGTAGACGGTGAACGGGACCGACTTGACTTCGAGGCGGAAATTCAGATATGACTTGGGCGCCGAGGGTTTGGACAGGTTGATGCTCGAGTTGACATCTGGCATTGGCGTGTCCTTGTCCGCATCCTTGACGTCTTTGATCTCTTCGTACAGGTGGAAGCTCAACCGATATCTACCCTCGTGGCGAACGGACAGGTCGGGAAAGATGAAGTAACCTGCTTGCTGTGGACGGTCGAGATAGGCCACGCCTGCTACCGGAACTCCTGTCAAGACCGGGCATGTTGGAGGTCCTGCGAGTCGTCCTTGCGCCATGGGACGAGCCGTATCCAAGGTCGCGAACAGAAAGAAGTTGGCGTTGTAAGCGAAGGTGATATCGGTCTTGTGCAGATCATCGTTGGGGTCAGACTCGAAGATTCGCAATTCAACAACGGGTGGAGGATCAACCGGTCGACGGTCGGCAGAGGCTACGAAATGTCACCATTGATTAGCTCCACGTTCAATGACAGCAATTGTGAACAGCAGCAGATCGTACACTTGGCACCAGCACCACAGGCCCTTGCACGCTCCGGCTGCTGCATCACACTAAGCTTGTATGTAATCTTCTTGCCCTCGCGGGTGATTCTGCTGACGGAGCTCTCCGTCTCATTCGCCGGAGGCATTAGAGGAGGTCTAGTAGTCGCCATTTTGACACTTGATGAATTCGGAGTGCAAGAACTTGATGAGATCAGTATATATGAGAATCAAAAAACGACGCAAATAGACGCTGGCAATGGCGATCGTATCATGTCGCCTTTCCCGGGACAGCTGAGAAAAATGGCACTGACTCGTATTCAATTCAGAGATACTAGTAAGACGGGTAGGCGCTGTGTCGACAATCGACAATGTCATAATATCAAGGACCTGAAATTTGCATCAAGCAAGCTCCCTCCTTTTCTCGAATCGTTGTGAATTTAATGGCTTTGACGGACGTTTTGACTGACCAGTCAGTTGGCTAAAGATTAGTGGAAGAAGAGTTGAAGAGAAGAAACTATCTAGAGAAACATAGGGCAGAGAAAAGAGAAAGGGCTGGACCTGTTGTAGTGGGGGGTGGACAACAGATGCGGCAGCCCTGGACGTTGAAGGGGAGAAGGCTACAGAGCTGGATAGGTTGAAGATGGAGAAGATATCAAGATTCAAGAGAGCGGGAGGGGGCTGAGGACTGGACTGGGGAGAGCGAGTGGGAAAAGCCCGCCATGCGGTTAGTTGACTTGGGTGTAGACTACTTTGGTGCTAAGTATACACTTTACCAGGGACTGTGTCGTCCCTCCTAACCGGTTGTGGTTAATTGTGGAGGTGATGATCAGTAACTTGACCTTAAGTTTGGTACTATGTACGGAGTAGTACTTCGGTCTTTGTTAAGGTTGCCCACTCTTCTCATTACAATCAATTTGTTGTCAAAAATTGTGATGAAGATGACCAGCGTGAGACATCAAGGATAAGCAGAGAATCATCGTCAAGTCGGTAATAATCTCATCTTCCACTCGAAGATTCAGTGTATACCTAATACTGGAGCATTTCGACCACAGTACCTCTGATACAGTCGAGGTATGGGTATTGTCACCGATGCAGCATGCAGAATACTGAGCCGGAGGAGTGGATACTGGGTAAAGGCCTGGAAGACTTGGAAAGTTGGAAAGGGTTGGTGGAGAAAAGAGGGGCAGGAGCAATGACCGATCATTGGAGCGTGGACAGGCCACCCCATGCTTTAGGTTTAAGGCAGCGGCAGCGGTTAACTCGAATGAGCAGCCTGTGGGCCAATGGCAACTGGCAACTGGCAAGTCGAGGCCGATCGGAGGAGATAGCAAAGTAATTTAGATGGAGTACTCCGTACAAATTTAATATGCGCTACACCTAACAGAGAAGGAGTCTAAAAGCACGAATAAGTGACAGACTGCTTTTTGAACAGCAACTAGTAGATAGGTACCTACAAGAGTTTTTCGTCGTCGTATTTTCACGTGACTTCTGTGTTTACTGCAGACCAAAAGTCAAGGATTAATTTCCCATTGGGCTCTGACATAACCCAGTCCAGCGGATCGGACTCTTTGTCTCTTCCCAAAAACCTGAAGAACGGGACAACAAAGGATTGAAAAGACAACTAAGTGATCTATGCGTCTCAGGATCATCACCCTGCAGATTTCAGCCGACAAGTCCGTGGCGTTCAGCGTTATGTTGGGGTGGATGAATGGTTTGATTAATAGGGGTTGAGGTGAATTCTTAAGAATAATGGGACAGTCTACAGAGCAAATCTGGGATGTTACTTCAATGATACCTAGCTCCCTTCTGGAGCATGCTATCTGTTCAGGACCCTTGAGGTGAAGACATGGAGAAGAACCATGGAGTTCTTTCATGAATTCAGCTACAGGATCTTGAAAGTTGAAACTCCCAAATCCTGACCCCTAAGGGACTCTTGCAAATCATCATGAGTTTATGTTAATTATTGACTTGCAAAGGCTAAGGTAGTCTTCACCTAAATGAGCAGGATCGGGGTTTGAACAGCCGCCTACAGTGAGATTGGATCTGCAAGCTCACAGGCCAAAAGTCGCCTCGCCTCTTCGGATGAAAGCACGGGTCAAATGGAATCAACACTAGCAGGGATATCCATGTCAGTTTGGCTGAAGGAAAGACTTCCAATTGGGTTATGCAGCACACCTTTGTTAGTGTTGAGGTGATTGGATTGTTAATGTCCGACCACGTCTATTTTGGTTATGCAGGTTTTGTATGGTATTAGGTCTTACACGAATCATGCTTGATGGAGGTTAGGTATCATCAACAAACCAACTGGGGCCTCGACAGAAGATCAAGCGGAGATAAGACTCGCCATCCTCTGTCTATCCGACCAAGCAATAATACCTTAGTAATGACAACTTCGTAATACTACTAGTCCCAAAGTCCAATGTCGCTTCTCGCCTTCTGTCATGATGACCATTTCCTGGGTATCGGACGGAAACTTTCAACCTAACCCCACTTCTGACGGTCCGCACCGAATCGAAAGACGGGCCCGCCTCAAGCCACCATGGACACTCTCTCTGGTTGGTTCTTTTATGATTTTATCACTCAAGGAGGACGACCCAATCAATAATGATAAGGACCTACCGATAGTTTTCTCATTCCAGAATCCAAGTAGACATGGAAATTGCCAAACATCACCTCATTGTGACATTGTGACCTTGTCAAATGAACAATAACCAAGGAGAGCCTCGTGCACAATTAACAAGGGACCAAGGGCTTGTGACCGTGCTAGGTCCACTGGCTGGATGGCTGTGGATGAAACTAGCTTCCCTTAGGAGTTTCGCAGTCGTAGATGACTTCTGGTCTTCGGATTGGTCTGGATTGGGGCATTGGTCCGGGAGATCTTCATTTTGGCCTCAGGCTTGCTTGTGTTACCGTTACCATCTTGATGACACCCAACGATCTTTATAGGAATTCCAATTATCGCTATCATTCTGTCAGTCACGGAACGTGTGCTAGCCATAGCCGGTGTATTGATCAATATTCTTCTTCTGCAGCATTCAATTGTCATGTCTCCAGTATCTTCATGAACTAGGAGACATTGAGATCTACTAGCTGTTCAGTACCTTAGTCTTGAAGGCAGCTTACCAAGGAATTACCAAGCACTTTCTTTACCTTAGGAGTTCGGCCGAATTCAAAGAAACTCAGCCCATGATTCGGCAAGCCTCGCGCACCATTCCCTTCATTCATTTCAACACGATCCGAGATTCTCGAGTTATACAATATGATTCGCTCTCTGGTCGTCATTCAAATCAAGGGGGACCTATTGTCGACAACCTACTAGGTACTTAACCAATTCTGATTTCAGTTTCGGCGTACTCCGTTGGACGGTGACACACGATAACGGTGGAGCAAATGGCAGTCTTCCAATGCTCACAGACTCAGGCACTCAGGCACTCAGCAGTCCGCACTTCAGCAGAGGCAACCCGCATATCTCAGGCACCCCTCGCATTAATCTTGAGAGCGATCGTCCTGGATGCATACCTCTGAAGCATGTCGCCAACCAATACCCAGACTGTCGGATCTATCCATGATGACTTTGAAGATGAGATTTTGCATTCCAGCATTCCACAATTTGACAATTTTTTACCCCCCTTTTCAAAGCAATTCGTGTCTTTGGCTGCTTTGATGGAGTGGACTAGGAGCAGAAAGTTAAGTTTATCTCGCGAGTCAATCGCTGTGGAATCTGTTCGGAATAATGGACATACCACTCGTCTTAGTTTGCCTGATTAGGGAGATTGTGCAGCACTATTCATCATCCAGAAGTCCATATTTCAAATGACAGATTAAAATTATGCTCCCAAATGCAGTAGTGCCGTTCATGCTGCATGAAGCTCATCCCTTTCTTGCTTATCGAGTATCAACTGCTGTACGGATATTGTTAGCAATCTGGCTAGCCCATGAGATATGTCATGAAGACAAGACGGATCTGACGGGCCCTCATTGTCTCCCGGTCAAGCCGATTACGATTCATACGATACCGAAATGTCATGAGCCAAGGAGACCATGCAGTCCGACCGTTAAAAGCTGCATGATGCTCAAAACTCAGAAGTCAGAACGGCTTCACCAAAAGCCTAAAAAGAGTTGGTCTCAGATGCGGGCGCTGTACACCTCGAGCCCCTAGATTCCAACTCCATACTCTAGCTACTACTCGGTGGTCAATGTCTCCGAGGTGATCATAGCCATCCCCATAGTAAGAAGCACTTCGCATGTCTCAAGGCATTTCGCCGTCAACTGACTTAGAAGAGTTGGATGGCACCTGCATGATTGTTGCTCTTCTCAGCTAGCAGAACAGTATCAGCTGTCGATTCCTCAGCGCCCGTTGTAGATCGATCGTACCAAGATGAGCAGTGAGGGCACAACCATGCGTAGGTCAATTCATCAATGACAATGACACATTGACCCCTACTTAGTGCACCGTTTGCATCCAGGGCATGGCTGTGTCTATCGACTGAATAGTGAGTACTCGCTTCTAGAGTTTGGATATGTAACACGAAGCCACGATTTCGAGTCGGGAAATGTGACCTATCCAGTGTGCATCGCAAGGGCCTCGTATCCGGAGAAGTAGCACGATTAGAGCTAGATTTATGTCGGCTTTCACCGTCTTTTGACTGGCAGGATGATTGATGAGGTTCCCCTTTTTGGAGAGGTGATTTCGTCGTTTCATATGTTGCGTACCGTAATCTCAATCCCATCTACGGATATCCTCACCCTACTCGCTAACTCGCCTTAGACACGCTCGCCTAGAGCCTACTAGACTGTTTTACTCTAGTCATTTTCGGGATATAGATATCTCGGGTCCGACGGCCGTTGAGATTCTGTTCACTTCGTATCTAACTAAGTGTCAAGACATATCCATTCCTTTAAGTTCCCGATCTCTTTCAACAGGGTTCACTGTCTACAACAATGACATTCGCCTGGCCATTTGAATGTGCCGGTCCATGCTTATTTTTAGATCAGGCTTTGCGTATGGCAAACGGGCCAACGGTCGAATCGACCCGAGACACTAGATGGATTGACCGTGCGCACTTGTACATCTATTCTCTCCCTGTGTGGGATATACTTCTCAAGCGTTCTGAGCTTCAATGGCAGCCGCTACCGCTATTTCCAAAGTATCCATATCCGGCGCATGAATTTTGCCATTGTCTCTCGTCTCGTAAAGAGTCCCACCCTCCGTCCAGATCCTGCGCAAGGTAGCCACAACCGCCAGCGGATTATTCGCCTCCCAAAGCTCCTGCTCCAGCTGCTTCAGCTCCGGCAGCGGAGTATACTCCTGCTCCCACTTGGCCTGAGTCTGCCGCTCAAACTCGCCTAGGATCTCGTTTGGCGTTGTGGTAAACGAGTTAACCTTGAGCGCTTGGTTGCGGGAGGCCCCGTGGTTGATGATCGCTGCTACGAGGAGTTTGCCGACACTGGGAATCATTAGCTTGGCTTTCGTCAGGAATAAGTGCAACAGTGACGCACTCGCTCATAGTCGTAAGGCTGATCCGACCATTGCCATCACCAAGTAGAACGGCTTTCTTGTTCGCGACATCGAACGTCCCTGCGCGGGGGCATTTGCTTGTATTCTCCAGGTAGAGGTCCGCGTACGGGCCCGTAACAAGGTAGGTGTGCTCGAGTCTCTTCACCTCCTCTCGGATAAATTTTCGCACCTGCAGCTTGAGCTGGTGCGGCTTCTCGTGCGCCGACTCCGGCCCGTACTCGATGTCGGTGCCATACTCGGACGGGAAGAATCGAATGATGTTCGGGCAGGACTCGGCGACTCGGATGAGATTGATCTGAGCGGCGATCATGTTCCGGCCTAGACAGCTTACGACTGTGTCAAATCCTGGGAATATGTTGTGAGTGTGAGACGCAAGTGTGCGGTTGGTGTAGGGGAGAGCAGTGTACCTTGGTAAGCTTCGCGAACGCGCGCTTCATCGTTCAGGTCTCCAACGATGATCTCGACTCCATGGTCTTTGAGCCATTGGATCTGTTCTTTCTTTGTGTTGATTGTGTTCTGGGAGGTGAAGATGGCGACGCGGTCGAAAGAAGTTGGAGCAGCAGTCGCAAGAGCTTTGATGATGTATCGGCCTATAACGCCAGTCGCCCCCAGAACTAGGATTTTGCGCAGTTGACCGGGCATTTTGAGTATATGACAAGTTTTTCTAGGTATATACAGGGAATTGAGAGCACAAGCAAAATAATTGGTGTTTGAGGAATACAATGGTTGGATTTCTAAGCAGTATCTCTAGTGCGGGGATAGTGGCTGTTTACTCCAGAGAAGGTCTTTGCCTGCGGGGGTGCGTCAGCTTGCCCCCACAGCGATATGATCCTGATCAGATGAATTCAGAAGTCATTATACGAATGTGTCTCAATCACCATAGCATATGTCCATCTGCGTCAAGTCGTTTCACTCCTGATATATATTGGCGCTGGTCGCTCGACGAGTGTTCCAACCAACAGCTGCTCCAAAGATGACGGACGTGAAGGAGTGCGAGCCCCCGAAGAAGATCGGGCAGGATGTCTATCTCTACGAGGGTTCTGCCTACAACAGCAATGGGGCCAATTCCGACCCTTCACTCATCATCCTATGTACTTGGCTTGGAGGAGCGAGTCCTCGACGCATCAACAAATACGTGGCGCGATATCGAGCCATTTTTCCAGAATCATCCATCCTTCTCATTACCACCACATTACCGGATATCACCATCCGTCCTTTTAGCATGCTGCGTGCGCGATTGAAACCAGCTCGTGAAGCCATCTGTCACATTTTCTCTCAGAAAGCCGAAGATACAACTGGATGCAAGAACGATGCTCTGCTACATGCCTTTTCCCACGGAGGATGCAACACAGCCATTCAGTTGGCGCTCTCCATGAAGGAAAATAGCGGTCCAGATGCGTTGCATCATCTCCCCCTAAGAGGCGTCATCTTCGATTGCTGTCCTGGGGAGACCGATTTCCGCCGATCATACAATGCTGCCGTTCTCTCTCTTCCTCGGGGTGGTAAATTGGTCCAGCTTGTCGGCAGGGCTGTGTTGTACACGACCGTGGGGACGATCACCAGCATCCAGAACATGGGGCTTATGAGCTCTGTCAATGACCTGCGGCATCAACTAAATGACGAGGCGGTGCTGGGACGCCAGGTCCGAAGGCTGTACATGTGCTCGCGAGCGGATACCACTGTCGACTGGCGCGATGTGCTGTCGCACATGGAGACGGCTCGAGAGCAGGGATACCAAGCTAATGGGGTGATTTTTCGGAACAGCCCGCATTGTGCGCTGATGCTAGAGGATGAGAAGAAATACTGGACGAGCATTGAACAGTTTTGGAGGGAGCAGGATCTATTGTACAAGGTTGATGGTCCTGCATCTGCTCTTGAAGGTGGCTCGACAAACATAGACGGCTCATTACCTCGTAGTAAACTGTGAGGATCAAGGAATAGCATCTAGCACCACAGCAGAGATAGATAGAAACTTGACGGAATACTGCACTCCTCAGGTGTTGTCATGCAGTGGTATACCTACAGAGGTGAATCCGTGGAATCTGATTGGTCGCCCGCTTGTCAGTGCGACATCCGTAATCGCTCATCACCCGCTCCCCTCCCAACGCGCGTTGTTGATCTTCTGCTCTCTTTCCTCAGTCACGCATATGGATCTGTTATCGATCCTACCCGGCTTTCAAACACGACCATATGCTCATATCATACCCCCCCTCGAGAGGAACAAAATAACCACCGCCGATCTCATCACCCTCGATAATCTCGAGATCGCGAAACGCGCTCACGTCCCCCCCGCGGACCTTCGCCGACTAACCACTCAAGTTGTCCAGGCGTTGCACAAGGACATTGGATTCAAAGAGGCTTGTGAGGAAGATGATGCTGTTGAGCCGAGCTCCAGCATTGACATCGAAAAGCCTCTCATCCTTGGTCCATCGACCAAGCTAGACTTATCGCGATGGAGTGCGATCAGCACTCTGGACCCCGTGTTGGATGAGCTGCTCAATGGTGGTCTGCCGACTGGCTATTTGACCGAGGTGACCGGAGAAAGGTGACTTACCGGATGGTATACGTGTTGTTTGCCATTTCTGACCGTGTGAGGATGTAGTGGGAGCGGCAAGACGCAATTTCTCCTCAGCCTCCTTCTAGCGGTGCAACTTCCAGAGCCTCGAGGTCTAGGGAAAGGCGCAATCTACATCTCGACAGAGGCCCCGTTGGCTACATTGCGGCTGTCGCAGCTGCTCGAGTATCATCCTTACCTCTCGACCCTCCCGAAAGACCGCGCCCCGACACTGGAGAACATTCTCTCCATCAATGCGATGGATCTGGAAACCCAAGATCATATCCTCAACTACCAGTTGCCCGTTGCGATTACCCGCTACGATGTCGGCCTCGTAGTCATCGACTCGATAACTTCCAATTACAGAGCAGAACATACATCTCACAACGTCCTGGGCCTGTCTACCCGGTCTGGGGAACTGGCAAGACTTGGCCAGCTGCTGCGCAACCTAGCCGTCGCAAAGAATATCGCGATTGTTGTCGCAAATCAAGTCTCGGACCGCTTCGATCCTCTCGAGAGTAATCCAGCATTGCTGCGCGCCGCCGCATACGGAAATACTGTTGTCTCGTCCTCGCCGGTTTCGACACAGCCACAACCACAGCCGACGACGCCAGGACACCGCGACTTAGCCGTCGCTTCACCACTTCCCGCTGCCCGATCTAGGCCTCCGGAGTCCGGCAATGCCGAGCTGTCTCCTCACATCACGATCGCTCCGCCTTCCCCATCCCCAGCCCTCCCCTCCTCGCCATTCGTCGCGGACGACGACCAGCAGCAGAACCAGCAAGATTTCGACGGCTCGTACGTGATCGGCAACCCCGTGCGCAACGAGCTGCTGAGCCTGGTGCACCAGCAACGATTCTTCACCGGGTGGGGCGATACGCCGCAGGCTGCCGCGACGCCTTCACCATACTACCTCTCCCGACAGCCCACGCACAAGACGCCCGCACTGGGCTTTGTCTGGTCATCCCAGATAGCGTGCAGGATTGCCCTAAAGAAGGAGGAGATCCCGACCACGCTTGATCCTGCTTTCGAGCCAAAGAGCACAGACCATCTGTCTCCAGCTTCACAACCACATGGTGGAACCAAACCGGCGTCAGACGGTAAGGAGCACCGAATCGATCACCACGTCCCGGAAATCCACTCAGATATCCCACCAACAGCACCAGATACAATTCCCCCACGCACGCTCCGAAGAACCATGAAACTGGTCTTTGCGCCTTGGACCGCCGGGACGGTAACAACTACCGTCGACAAGGACGGGGACCCCGCCGTTTTCCTCCAAGATGAGGTTGAATATACCATCTGGAAGGGAGGATTGAAGAGTGTGGAAGTGCAAGAGTAGACGATATTTCAAGAATCAGTTAACAACATCGCTGGTAATAGACTACAAATATTACCCTAGATCATCTTGGAATATGTTTGAACTCTGAACTACTGTAGATAATACTTCATGTGCAATGTATCATAGTTTACAATCATAAAGAACTTGACTCTATCGCTGTATCTTATCTCCACTAATGCAGGATTCGGCGGGCGGCGGAAGCTATTCTGCGTCCCCGCATTTGGATTCCTTGCTTTTTCAGCTTCACGGTTCCTAACCATGTCCATTGTCCTAAGAGATGAAGCTTGTGATCGCTTTCTGGATTGACTGAATTCGTTTATAGTCTAAAGGGACGAACCTCGAACACGGAAAAAAAGACATCAGTTCTTCGCTGAAAAGCAGAATATATGCTATGAAAAAGGGTTAAGATGGTCTAGAGCAGATGGCAACCAAACAGGACTCCCCGATTAAGAACGATTGAGGGCAGGAGCCAACATCGATGAATAAAGATCTTTTTGCCCCCTCCCAGATACGCCTTTCATTCAGACAACTCACATTCGCTCTATGATATGACGAGTGCCCCGTGTCGTGGTCAGATTCGATCCTGCGAGAGCACCACGGAGCGAGAGACTCAAGAAAAGAAAAGAGAGAGAAGAAAATGGAAGAAAGAAGAATGAGATTCTATGTATTGACGAACAGAGACTCTATTTGGCAGGAATCTTGGCAGGAGGGACACCGATGCCGTTGATGTTGCGGTAGAAAAGGACGTGCTGGCTCTCGCCCTTGGCGCCCTCGGTGGGCTCAACCCACTGGCAGGTGCGAGCGCTAGTCCAGAGGGCCTTGAAGAAACCAGTCCAGCCGGTGTGAGCCTCGGTGCGGTAATGCTCTCCCATGACCTTCTGGATGGCCTCGCTGGCCTCATCGGCGTGGTAGAAGGGGATGGTGCTGACATAGTGGTGAAGGACGTGGGTCTCAATGATGCCGTGGAAGATGTGGCGACCGACGAAGCCAAAGTCACGGTCAATGGTAGCAGCGGCTCCACGGGTGAAGTCCCAGGCCTCGGGCCGGTAGTGGGGTAGGGAGGGGTCGGTGTGCTGGAGGAAAGTGATGGCAACTACATTTGCAAGTCAGCAAAACCCGTTCCATGCTGCGAAAGGTGGGCAAGAGGAACTTACCGAGCCAGTGGTTTACCCAGAGGTAAGGAATGCCGTACCAGACCAGGAGGTTGAGCCAGCCATAAGTTGATCCGATGTAGTAGAGGAGGCTTCCCACAAGGAAGAGACCGAGATCGCTCAGGGCGATCAGCTTGGCATCCTTGGCCTCATACAGAGGGCTAGAGGGGTCGAAGTGGTTGACTCCACCGAAGTAGCCGTTCCGCTTGCCCTTACCACGCCCCTCGGGCTGGCGCTCGTGGTTGTTGTGGCCGGTGACGTTGGTCAAGAGGTACATGGGCCATCCGAACAACTGCTGGAGAATGAGGTTGGTCGCGGTCAGGATGGGAGTCTCCTCCATCAATTCGCTGAGCTCATGAGCGGCACGGCCGATGCGGGAGGCATATTCTTCCCTGGTCTTGGGCACGAAGACCATATCACGGGCGAGGTTACCGGTGGCCTTGTGGTGCTTGCCGTGGGAGATCTTCCAGGAGAAGTAAGGGACGAGCAGAAGGGAGTGGCAGATCCATCCAACAGTGTCGTTCAGGACCTTGGAGGGGGAGAAAGCTTGGTGACCGCACTCGTGTGCCAGAACCCAAACGCCAGTACCGACCAGACCCTGGATGACGGTGTAGATAGTCCACAGGACGACGCGCAGAGGCATGGAGGGCACGGTCTCGGGGGTCACATAGTTGTGGAAGACATAGAAGACAGTCGCGAGGATGGCCATGTCTTGGAAGACATAGTACAAACTCGTGACAGCCGAGCGTTGGTAGCAGTGAGCAGGGATGGCATCCCGAATCTGCTTGATGGTGTAATCGGGAATCTTGAACTCGTTACCATAGGTGTCGATCATCTTGCTGCTGGTGTTCTCTGCATCCGAAGCCATCGAGGAGAGCGATGTCGACGAAGGGGACTGGCGAGGACTGTCGAAAGGAGAGGGAGAGACGGAGCTGGGGACGGAGGACTCCGTGGTTGGGTTGCGATGCAGCGCAACGCGCTTGGGAAGAGCTGTCGAGGACATTTTGACAGGACTGTTTGTCGGTGCGAGAAATGAATGCTGTCAATTGTGTCAGTCCATGCGAGAAAGCCGCGTATGATCGGTGCCAAAATATCCAGTCAATGGGGTGTGAGAATAGAGGAAGACCTCAAGACAAGTCTCGAAAGACCGAGAGAACCTCCCTCGTCGGCTTGACAGGGAAGTTTTCTATGTGTGGGGACAAGTTCAAGCTTCCACTCACCCAGTGAATCTGCTCCAGTGAAGGGTTACACAAACTCGAAGCTTCCTGGCTTCTGTGATGGAAGGCTGACAAGGTCAGAGGATGTGAATGACCTGGTGTTGAATTCCTCTGCAATCCTTTGGCTAAAGCGAGAGAAGGTCAACAAAAAGATGAGGAGGGAGAATGGCGGTTAAGAGAGCAGTCCAGCGACAGAGGAGGAACAGAGGAGGGGGCAATAAAGAAGATCACAGGGGATGAAATGCTGAAAAAAAAAAAAAAAAAAACAAACGGACCGAGATTTCAGAAGGCAAAAACCAAGGACAAGGGACGAGAACAGCCCATCCCCGTCTCCCCGATGATTTGACGATCTGATGAATTTTGGGATACTTACTGAGATTGTAGGTAGGCATTCCATGGAGGCCCATCCATGGTTTGGCTGGTATCGGAGGGTAATTCTCAATTGGGGCACCGACTTCCACGGTAATTTTGACCATATCCTTGAAGCATGATTGGCCAAGAACCACTTTGAGCACGGGTAACCCCTGTCTTGGGTGTGCGCAGATTTTTATTTTTCATTGCAAATTTTCTTTTCTTTAGTGCTCTGGAAATTCGCCGCAGACGGCGTCTCTGGGATTTGAGATGTAGCCACCAAAGCCAGAGGCATTCATCAGCATTCGGCCAATCAGTCTTCCAAGTCTAGTCCTGTGCAGATCGCCGGATGGCCCATAATTTCTTTTGCTTCTTTGAGAGTTGATTTCAAACAGAACATCCAACCACTTTAACCCCGCCCTTTGGTTCTCCCGAGGCAGCGTTTGCCATGAGTAATACAGTCTACAGAGTATGATTTGGTGAGTAGTATGTAGCTGCATAGAGTTCAGCTCTCTCTTGAACTGCAGTTTGCATATGAATATGCAAGTTCTGCAGCCTCAGGTGGGATTGGAATGCGCCACTTGTCTCAATCTCAATTTTCAGATGATACCTAGAATCATCGACAGATGACAGGATGATGGACCTTCTCACTAGTCAACCTTGAGGCATTATCTATCGGCGTTCGAGAAGCATTCCGAGTCAGGCCACCTCGAGCTTGAGTCTTATGATTTGACTTGGTAGATTCAGTCTATCTCTATCTTTCTACTCCTTATTTCCTGTAGGTGATGTTCAGCCACGGCTAAATGCAAGTGGATTCAAAAGATTACCATGTGGCAGACATGGGGGGCAAAGTGAAAAATACTGGCGTTCCGTACCAGGTACATGTGCTGGGGAGGCGTCTCACCGCCTTTTGCGACCCAATCATATTAGAGATTGATGATCCACTGCCGGCCATAGGTAGGAATTGGCTTCTCAACAGTCTTGGCATACAGGGATCCCTATCACTGCCTTACAGACTTACAGTAGTCTACTGTCCTTCGCCAACTCAGGAAGAAAGAGAGATCTGCTCCGAGGTATCATATGCAATTCTCCTAGGTACAGCACAGGGTAGTTATTTTGACTGTCTTCAGCTTTGCCTGTGTTTGCGTTGACACTTGACATTATTACAAGCCTACAAGCGACATAGACCGTGGGGCCGGAGATGATTCGGGGCATGTCCATATCAGTTCCCCATTTACCTTCTAGACTTCTAGAACATCTCCAGTTTGATACCGACTCCAGACACCAAAAAATCAACAACATCACTCACATCTCCATAGCATGTGAATCTCACCATCACCCTCATCTGACTGGGAATGAACCCCCTTGCCTAGAATTCCTGTCGAAAAACCCAATGTAGTATCCTCCATAGTGAGCTTGCTCGATGCAAGTGCTGGCTTACCTAAGGTAATGAACAAAAGCCAGATCATCCTCAGTCTCACCAATAACAACCAGCCTGGCCCATTCAAGGTTTGATTGCGATCCCACTAAGGCGCGGCTAGCTTCTAGGGTCCTGCTAGTGCTCTACAGTTGCCAACACTTTGAATAAGCAGTCTATCTTGGAGGAGTCGGGTTTATATTCTGCTTTCAACTTTTGTAGGATTTCTGATTCATGATTGTGACCATGCATGTGATTCGGACCTTACTCCGTCTGGACGGAGTACTATGGAAGTGAACCACACTCAGATCCTGTTGATTACTTGAAAGTTCAACAGTTCAGCAAGAGATGACATGACACAGCCCTCAGTTGTCATTAATCGACAGTCTCAATGCGGACATTGAATATCACTATGACTATGCAATAGAGAGATTTCTCTGAAAAAGATAGAACAAATTACATGATCATCAGAGATCTCGGGGGTGATTTCTGATTCCAGTCTCGTCCGGAGGAAGTACGGAGTAGAAGTAAACTGTTGGGGCAGAGCCAATTTGTTGAGGATGGGAAGGTCCGGTGGGTCTGGCTGACTTGTCAAAGTCAAAAACTAATTTCTTGTGAAGAGGTTAAAAAAAAATAAAAATAAAAAAAATACTAAAAGCAAAAACAACGCGGGTGCTTAGTCACCAGATCACTGTAGGGCTTGTGTGTATTTTTCGTCCTTTGCAAATTTGCCCCGACTATGGAGTATGGATATTCAACAGGGTGAACAGCCATTTGTCTACCTACACTGTCACTGTGATATTGATTCCTCCATGCTCAGATTGCTAGGTTACACAGCTACAACATCATCATCATTATGCATGT